GAATCATGGAACACTACATCTAAAACTAATGATGGAATGTAGGGGATTAACATAAGAATTAAAAAAAAAAATAGAATCCAGGTCAGTCTAATTACAAAGCTTTCATTCACCTAGGTCATGCTGCTTTTCCTAAGGGCAATAATTTTTTGCTGACTTCCATTTATGTTGCTCAAATTCATTTTGTCTTTTATCTCTAAGAGAGTGCTCACATCCAGGAACCCGAGGAAGCAACACAAACTTTCACAGTTGGGCAGGGCAATAAGAGATGAGGCAATTGATCCTCTTACTTCAGGGGTCCTAGCCTAAGGCGTATTAAGGTTATGTTGCCATGCCAGTTAATGGTACAGCAGTGTCTCCTAACTTCTGGTTCAGAGCCTCTTTCATTAAGACAATTCATGGAGACTATTCATTGTAATAGAGTGAAAGAGAAAAAAGCAATTCTGACAAACATAATAACGCCCAAATTAGATTTCCTTATTATATATAAAATAAAAATAGCACAGAATTACTATGTAATTATTAAAATGAATGCAGAAGTCCTTTACTTGAGAGAGCTGATACCCCTAAGTAAAATGCAATAAAGATTACTATTTGTAAAACTTTGAATTTACATAGTTAATTACCATTCCCAACACAGCTCCAGGTTACTGTTTTAGAGCTAAGGAAATAAAAGAAGCTAATTAACTTAAATATTGTTAAGAGAGAAGCCAGGATAGTTAGAATGGTTAACTGTTAAGAACATCAGTTTTTAGTATTTTCTGATTGTAGTGCAATGCAGGGAAATAATTATCAGCTTCACTTCTGAAGAATCTTTAAATATTGGGATAAGTGAGTATCATTTGGGATATTTTCAATTGCAAGTAATTGAAAACCCAGGTTCAAAGTGGCTTAAACAGCAGTGAGGGGTTACTAAACTTAAAAAGGACTAAGTCCAGAGGCATCAAAGGTTCCAAGGCTGGTTAATTCAATTTCACATCATTATCATGGACATTCCATCGTTCTACTCTACCACATTCAGTAGTCAGCCTGTTTTTCATGATCCAAGCCGTTCCAGATGGCCCATGTAATAATATCCAAAACATAAGAATTTCCTTTCGAACATCTCTATTATTCAAAAAATGTTTTGAGCAGCTCCCCAGCAGATTTCTCCTCCAACTCCCATTGAAGAAGCTTAGGTCAAGAGTCCCTCTTCCACGATAACTGGCAGTGAATGATTGCCATAAACAATCGTTATTTGAGCTCGGCCTCCCTCAGGTATATCATTCTGCATACTCGGAACCCAGATAAAAACTGTTCTTTCAAGAGTCAGGGAAAATGGATTTGGGTGGGAAAGCAAGAGTGTCCTTCAAAGTGAACTTCTTTAGGAAGCAGAAGAAACAACAGAACTAATTCTACTCCTGCCCACAAAGACAGGAATGTTAGTAGTAAACTGAATATTGTGATGACTGTTATTCAGAAGGTGGAATATATTCCTTGAGCCTAGTCTACATAACTTCCAGTTTCCATTTTCATAGTAGACAAACATGTTATGCTTTGGTTAAAACTTTTGTTTGTCATCTATGACAGTTTCCCATTTGCCCTGCCTACCAGTAAGATTAACATGAGGAAATACACATAAAATTCAGCTAACCTTTAGGAGAGGCCTGATAAAGATGAGGTAAGAATTTCTTAAGGTAACTAGAAAAGGAGTTTACATTTATTTAAGGAAGGGACTCACACAGACTAGTTCCTAAATGGAATTTTTTGAATTATAAGGAGTTAAAAAAGGTAAGAATTGGAAGGTATAAGAGAGAATAGGGTTACCGAGGAGGGCAGAATTTGAATACTTTCCTTGTTAGGGAAGAGCTGTTGACCTTATATCTGAAGAAGGGATAGAGTATGAAACATCAGGGAAGTGGGCCCCATGCAACAAGATACGGATATTCATAATTTAGGAAATTTTTATATTATTCATTAAAATATCATCTGAAACATTCTTTCAACTTTTGCAGAATGCACCTTCAAAATCACCAATCACAGTGTCTTACTGCACAACAATCAGTTATAGTACTGAAATCTGGCTACCCAAGCAACGTATTATCATATACTGCACACATAGATCATTTTTACCAGCTACCTTTAAAATGTATGTCATGAGTTCAAATGGCAGATTTAACAAGAATAGATGGATGACACTTTTTTCTGGCAGTGTACCATTCCTTGAAAACTGAAAGTATATGACCTAACTGTCTCCAAAAGTATCCAAGTATAGTTTATAAATGTGAAATATTTCAATAAAATAAAACTACAAGTATTTTTATAAAAAAACTTTAAAGCTTAAGCCAATTCCAGAACTTCTTAGATTAGCAATTCTTGTTTTAGGATGTCACCTTATTTGGGAGGCCAAAAAAACACACAAGAAATTTCAGATTAGTCACTTCCCTCATTTACTAAACTTAGCAGTAAGAAGCTTTAGAGTATTTAAGAAGTTCAACTCCAATCTTAAAGAATAAAAATTTGCCAGCAGTGAGAATATTTAACAGGATATACTAAAGGCTTAAAAGCAATTAATTCCAAAGGTGTGGTTCTAAAAAGTATCTTGGTTATACTAGTACTAGTACAGTATATAAACAATCTTCCAAGCTGATACCTTCTAAGGAGACAAACTTTTGTTATGCTTGTTCAAAATGAGTCAACTTATTTTATAAGCATATCTTGTAAGAGTAGCTCTTACAGGTTAGTACAGAACATTATTTAGAAAAAAACTGACTTGGAAAAAAAAAAGGAAAAGAGTAAGATTGACTTGAAGAACTCTGTGAACTTAATTTTCCAGAAAGAAAGCCATCATTAAAACAAATAGCATGCCACTCTTCTGTTAAATACCATAAATTTTCAGCTTTTGAAAGTTCTGAACAAGCAGAATTGAGACAAAGAATCAAGAAACATCTGAAGTTCAATCAGCAATAGCCCTTGTTTTAGCCATACTAACTTTGCAGTGAATTTTTCTTTTAACAACATATTTAATTTAAAACTATTCTACACTGTAACTTAATTGCTTGGGAAAAATTATTAAAAGTAACAGATAAAATGCTCCCCAATAGTTCATTCAACAGGAATTAAAGTCTCATAATATATGTTTTTGAAATGTATGAAAAGTCTATTTAAAAAAAGAGGGCTGACTGATGTTGGCATCTTTACAAAGACATGCTGTGACACTGTTAAGAAAATAAACTTGCACAATCCATAAAAGGAGGCAGTTCTAATTTTTGTAAACCATTAGAAGCCACAAAGATTTGCAATATAAAAGGCTGAAGTTTACAGTAAATAATTTGAAATAATTTGAATTGCAACATATTTCTAACCTGACCATGCTGAAAATGAACAACTCATAAGAAGACAAAAGATTAACATGAATATAAGGCATTTCTTGGGTGTGGGAATAAGAATAATAAAATGAGATGTAGAGACTAGTAGTTTGCCAGATTGGGACGAGGCTGCTGAAACCGGGTAAATCTTAAAAGACTTACGAAGATGGAGTATGTCATTCCCAACCAAAAAGAATTCACTGATAAAACCTCTGGCTTCTCTTTCATGTTACAACAACTCCCCCACCCCCCAAATTTTACACTCTGTGAAACCTGGAGTTTACTCTTTACAATTCTTTTTAGCCAAGTACAGTACTTTAACAATTCTGCTAACGTGGCAATCAGATGGGCAAAGGGAAAGGCTAGTGAGGAAGCAGAGCAAAGCAAGGGCTACTGGATACAGACCCTAAGACAGATTACAGCCAGAAGTGATGTGTCAGGAGGGATGAATAACTCAGAACTGGAAGAGCTGAGCCGTGGTGAGGCAGGAGGGAGGGAGAAAGGATCCGGAGAAAAATCCTGAACATGGGTCAGAGATAGGAGAACAAGCGTGTGACCCAAGACGAAGGGAGGTATGTCAAAAGGAGGCAGCTGGCGGGCAGCAGGCCTGAGGAGCTATGTGAGGCTATGACCAGCCCACCCTCCCGCCCTACTTTTTCCTCCGGTCGGAGAGGCAGCGACCAGTCACCTGGAGTGTGAATTCCGGAGGGACTCTATGAGGCGCTGCTTCTGCTGTTGGAGGCTGGTGAGGCCACCGGGGGACCCAGCTGCGGAGGAGGAGGCGCTCTTGGTCAGGGGAAAGAGCCAGCTCATCCTCCACGGGTCCCCGGGCCCGAGGCCCTGGAAGGCTCTGGCCTGCTTCTCCCAGCTGCTCAACCCGGCAGTTCCCCAGCGACAGGAAGAGCAGTCCGAGACGCCAGGGTCCCAAGTGCTGGGGGGCGGCGTCTTCTCTAAGCAAGCCCGGCTGAGGGGTCCTTGGGTCCTGGGCGAAACACTATGACTGTGGGCAGCTAGAGAGAGGAAAGTAGCCGCCCGGGACGGGGAGCTCTACCTTCACGGTCCCGACGCCCAAACCAGTCAGTGCGGTAGCCTGACAGCCAAACGCTCCACCACCCCTGCTTCCGTCACCTGCGTGCTCCGCCCTCTCTGCGTGTCGCGTCATCACCTAGCGCCCCCGCCAGGACGTGCGAGAAGCGACGGCGCAGCACGGTGCGGCGCTGCCCCGGCTCCCCTTTCCCTTTTGCTGGGAGTGAGGTGTCTATGGGGCACCCGCTGCTGCCGCCGCTACCGCCACCGCCACCGCCGCTGGTTGCTGTCTCTATGGCGAGGAGGAAGAGGAGGAGCGCGGGCTCAGCGACACAAGTAGATCTTGCGTCTGCCGGGGGGAGGGGCGGATTGGGGAAGTAGAAAGGGGGCGGGAACGATGAATCTCAGAGGGTGAGCGATGGCGCCAGCTGGAACGCGGCTGGCGGAGGAAGAGCTCGACGGCGGGTGGAGGGGGGCAGGGTAACGGGCTGAGGGTATGTCAAGGGGGTGGCGCGGGCTGATGACGTAAAGGCTTTGTACCTGGGGCTTCGACGTTGTTGGACGGAAATTGGGAGTGGAGGGCGGTGGCCTAGATCCTCAGCTCCTCGTATTTCTTCTTGCAGCAGTGCTTGGGAGTCAGTCTGGCCCCAGTAAATGGTTATCAAGCACCTTCACGCTGGCCCTTTGCCGGGGAAGAGAGTTATCTATGATTTGAGTGGCTCTGTTTTGTCTTCGTTTTTTTGGGAGCCTGCAGTACGGAGATTGTATCTCTAGTAATGAGAAGGCCTCTGGTGCCTCGTCGGGGCTTCTGGAATTGTAGTAGAGAGAGAGGTGGAAAAAGCAATGTTAAGCTACAGGGTCTTTCTAAAGTTTGTGTGTGTGTGTTTAGCGGAGTGGGGAGGGTAATAAGGGAGGGGTTCCCTAGATCTTTGGTTTCTGTTCTTAGAGGACTTGAGGTTACATTTGTGACTGAAGTGCTTGGGGGGGGTATCATAATTCCCTTTTTTACCCTTGTTAGGATTTTTTCAAACTGAAAAATGAAGGAGCATTTGGAATTTTTCTGTCCAAGAATCAAAATGTTGGTCTGTACTCTTTATGTGGCATGATACTCTGTTTATGGACCAGAAACAATAGATGTATGTTTATGCTCAGGTTTTTAGGAAATTAGAAATAGTTTGAAATGCTTACACCCTATTGCTTCCTTTCTCCCTCCTGCAGTTATGGACATTCAGTTTCTGTTGCTGTTACTTATTTTTCAGAAAGAGCTTTTTCTGGTTTTTTGTTGTTGTTGTTGTTGTTGTTGGTTTACTAAAAAGTCCCTTCTAATCGGACTTGAATAAATGCTACTGAAGTAGATTTTGTAATCAAATCAGATTTTGAATGTTCTGTTAATGAGTAAAAGCAAACATTACCTTTGTCCTAATAATATCTGATCCCGTCACATTATATCACTATTTAACTTTTCATTTTCTATGTGGAAATAGATGTCTTTATAAAGTTTTATTTGGAGAGAGAGTTGAATTCAGAGTAATCTTTAATGTTAAATTTTTAAAAAATGATTAGTATGTACACATAAAAAACAGTTTTTACTTAACATTGATATTAGAACCAGAAAACTTATGTTGCAGTTCTTTTTTCCCTACTGATTAGATGTGTGATTTTAGACAAGTCATTTCCCAAACTGATTTTCTTACAAATCAAGGATTTTGAATAAATAATCTTTTAGGTTTGTATCAACTCAGTTCTTCTATGATTCATATTTCTATTATCACTGGTTTTTATTTTGACAGGTACAAAAATAAAGGATAAAGTATTTTATGAAACAAACAAATCTTCAATCAAGTATAACATTTTGATGCTTGGCATCTAGACTTCTTGTGCCCTCACTATGCCAGCAGCAACTGTAGATCATAGCCAAAGAATTTGTGAAGTTTGGGCTTGCAACCTGGATGAAGAGATGAAGAAAATTCGTCAAGTTATCAGAAAATATAATTACGTTGCTATGGTATGCCTATCATCAAATCCTTAAGATTGCTTCTGATAAAAGAGGAAGAGGGATTTTAAAAGTCTTGAATTCAATCCATTTGGTTACTACTGTAGAGATTAATTTAATTATAAAAAGAAAATTTTGTCAGTGTCCTCCAACCAGAGACCACCAGGAACACTCCTGCAGTGTGACAAATTGGGTTTATTACTCATTGGAGGGAGGGAAAAGGCATACCACTGGAACCATGGGGCATTTGAGTAAGAGTGTTAGAAAGGACTTTTAGGATTTGAGCTTCTGTCAGGTGGTTTTAGGGAGGGATTAAGAAGGCAGTGCCTTGCTCTGAATTGGATGCTGTTGAGAAGGGTGGTAATTCTATAACAGGGTATCTTAATAAGTCTTGAATGAGAGAAGACTGGAATGAGACTAAAGCTATAAAGAAGCAACAGTTACTTAACATTAGCCAAGATAGAAGGATGTTTGGTCATTTTTGTGGTTTGGGCAATGTTTATGTTTTTGTCTATGCTCAGTCACGATTACAGAGTGGTCTTGTCTGATGTTGAAGTGTGAAACTGTTCATACTCAACAACAGAAGAACATTAGAACCTAGCTGTGAGTGCCAGGTTAGCTCCCAGCAACACTTAAGGCTTAACTGATAATACCAGATGAGCACACAGAAGCTAGGGAGCTCCTGCATGTCTTTCTCAAAAAAAAAAAAAAAAAAATCAGATCTCCCAGTGGAACATTGTTAATCTGCACGTTTTTTGTCGTTTGTTTTAATCATCAGTGGAGTTGGATGAATACACTGTGCTGTTAAGCATCTCTGCTTTTGCATTTAGTATTCAATCTACCTAGACCATCTATTCAGTTAATTATTTTGTTGCTTTATCTGCTGTACTTTGTACATCTATTATAGTTACCGTATTGTTTTCCATACTGTAAGTTCTGCTAAGCAAGGGGTTAGTGCCTTAGTCATCCTTTCTCTCCCACAACACACCTAGCATAACACAAAATATCCAGTAAAGTTGTTGAGTTGGACTGACTTTAGAGTTTTAATTTCTTTACTGTTTCATAGTGATTTGGTATTCAGATTTTGTTCTTAGCTTCCCAGTTTGAATTTTAAAATTAAAGTGATATAGTATCATTTCCTCAGTATTTTTAATGCAAATAAATAAATGTACTTCTGTGGGGAGGGGCAGGTTGGTGAAAATACGAATATTCGAGTGTACATAGATAACCTATTTAATAAAGGTATACTTACCCATAATTAGAATTGAAGTTGTTTTTTATCCCACAAAAATATATAGTGATCATTTCTCAGATGATAAGGAGTGACATTATAGACATGATAACGTTCTTCAGGAATAAGTGGGTATCATGCAATTTTTGATGACATATTTTCTCTAAAGTATAGAGAGAGTGCTATTTTAGCCCAAGAAATTAAGAGAGTTTTGATATTTAGAAAAACCTTGCCTCAGAAATGCTTGGAAAGTATGATGCATTTTCCATTCCTTTTAACCAGTTCTTCATTTGTTTTAACACTGGCATACGGTTAGCATAGTTTCACATACCCTTTGAGAAACATGAATTTATGATTTTTTTCTCTTCCTTGGAAATAGAGTACTTGGTGCATTTATCATTCATGTCTTCTACATAATAATTTTTTACTGACAGTATTTAAAGTAAGAAAAAGTCATTAAGTTTGTAGAGTTTTATTTTATGGATCTAAAAAGTAACGCTCTTCATAGTTAAAAGGTAATTTGTATTTGAATATGATGAATGTGTAGAATATTATCTATAGCAGTATTCTTTGACTTGAACCAAAAATTATTTATTCTAAGAATTTGTGGATTGTGGTTTTGATCATTTAGTAAATAATGAATCTTAAAACTATTTTACAGGACACCGAGTTTCCAGGTGTGGTTGCAAGACCTATTGGAGAATTCAGGAGCAATGCTGACTATCAGTACCAACTATTGCGATGTAATGTAGACTTGTTAAAGATAATTCAGCTAGGACTGACATTTATGAATGAGCAAGGAGAATATCCTCCAGGAACTTCAACTTGGCAGTTTAATTTTAAATTTAATTTGACGTAAGTGGGAAATAAATATAACCCAAACTTTTTTTAGCTTAATTTTAGGAATTGATTTCCCTCAAGTATGGTGAATGAAATGCTAACTGAATTTGGCGCAGTTATCCTAGAAATATTTAAAACCTAAAATTTCAAAAGACTAGATTTCTTCTAATGGGACAAAAGAACCAGGATAAAGAAGACTGTATATTCAGATACTTTGAATTTTAAAGATGTTGTTTGAAAAGTATGACTGCCACTTTTTTTGAAATCTGAAAAACTTTGGGTATTGAAAACACTTCTTGATAGAAAAAATAATCTTACATCAGTTTTACTTTCAAACTTTGTGTTCAGTTTGAAATATATACATCTTTGTTGTAGTAATTATCCTTCTTGTGAAGAGATTTTTATTACAGTCAAACTCCAGTTTGTGAGTAGATTATGTGTCAAGGGCAGTAAGACATTTCTTGGAAACTTGGGTGCATTTTCCTGTCAAGTCAATATAATTATATAATAGCTACAGTCCCCGATCAGCCCACAAAACCTCTTGTAACTTACATATAAGAGAGGTAATGGTATCGTTAAATTTGGTATTTCTTTCAGAAACTGTTCAGAATCTGAATTCTAACTCAAGCCCAAGGTTGAAACTCAATTTCCTTACTTGATGTCTTGATAGCTTAGGGAAGTTTAGTGTTTTGGGGTAAGAGCAGTTTGTTTACAAACTGACTCTAAGGTGAGTTTAATTCTGATTAAGTTACAACATTGCAGTGTCCTTCTATTTGACAGCTTGTACTTGTGTTTTTGTACTTGTGTAATATGATCTTAAATCTGGTTCAAAAAATAGTTAAAGAAGCTATGGGACAATTAACAGTAGTGCCAATGTGAGAACCTCCCATTCTCTGTACAGTAATGTGATATTTAGCATATAAGATCTAAAAAGCAGGGCTGATGATTTTAGAGAGTAGTAGTGTCGGTGGTACAGTACTATGGCTTATTGCGGTTAGCCTCATTTTCTGTTTTACTTTGTTGGATTTCATAATATACACCAGAACCTTGTCAAGGGTA